CATGCCGCCCTGAGGGGGGCTCGGCAGTCTACGACCGAGGGATATGGCAAAGGCCGAAGGACACGACTTAGGCGGGCAAACCATGCAGGCGTGGTCTCTCTGGCCTCATGCGGCCGAGTAGCACGACGTAGGTAGGCAGACCGCGCAGGCGTGGTCTCTCTAGCCTCATGGCCGCCCTGAGGGGGGCTCGGCAGTTTACGGTCGAGGGATATGGCAAAGGCCGAAGGACACGACTCAGGCGGGCAGACCGCGCAGGCGTGGTCTCTCTGGCCTCATGCGGCCGAGTAGCACGACGCAGGCGGGCAGACCGCGCAGGCGTGGTCTCGGGCAACAGGCCGCCCTGAGGGGGGCTCGGCAGTCTGCAGCCGAGGGATATGGCAAAGGCCGAAGGACACGACTCAGGCGGGCAGGCCGTCCTGAGGCAGAACTCGGTCAGTCTACGACCGAGGGACACGGCTCAAGCGGGCAGGCCATGCTGAGGTGGACTCGGCAGACTTCGGCCGAGCCGTGTAGATTTAGAAAGATTTAGGCTGGGGCTAACCGCGAGCCGGGAGGTAGTCAAGTAGATACTGAACCTTCGCTCGGAAGAGACTGAGGCAGGGCCTAAATTTCTTTTCACAAGGACTACATTGGATAGCCGTCGCAGGTGCTTGACCCCTTATATGGAGCCCGCTGCCGAAAGCTGTCCCTTCTCCTTACGGCCGCCCAAGCCTCCGTCGCGATGCACTGGTTAGCCCGCTGGAGCATCTCTGGCACCATGGTGGGGGGTCGCTCCACGAGGGACCAGAGGAATCTGGAAGGTCGCAGGCCTATTATAAACGCCTGCACCAATAGAGAAGGGTGAGTGTCCGGCAAACCCCGGATTTACGTGGCAAAGCGATCCACAAAATGTGAGAGGGGCTTGTCCTCCCTTTGTTTGAGTCCGAGGAGCAATGTCGTGAAGGGCCTTGGCCGTGCATAGACTACGAAGTGGAGCTCGAAGTCATTGGCGAGCTGGTCGAAGGAAGCAATCGTTCCGGTCTTCAAGCCGCCATACCACGCATGGGCCGGCCCTCTCAGAGTGGTAGGAAACGCTCTGCACATCAGGGCATCAGAGGTTCCGTATAGCGCCATTTGGGCGCGAAAAGCGGCTACGTGGTCCGTCGGGTCGGCGGAGCCATCGTAAGTGTCCAGAGAGGGGAGCTGGAAGTCCGGGGGGACTATTAGATCCCGTATCTCGAGCGTGAAGGGAGACCCTTGGTGTGCGTCCTCCCCGAGCTCTCCCTTGGACATGCGAACCTCTTTCTGCACCTCGTCGAGTCGCTAGCTGATGAAGCACAACTAGGCCCGCAGGGAGTCCGAAGAGAGTGCCTCGGGTTCCGGGCGGCCACTCGGGTTTGCCATCACTGGATCCCGAGTGGGGCTGGTCGGATCCGAGGCGGAGTGGGGGGCTCCGGAAGCGTCATGTGGGCCCGAACGGGTGCCTTGCGTTGTCGTAGTGGTTCGATCGCAAGCGGGTGCGCCGGATGAGAAATGAGCGAGATAATGGTTTGCACCATTTCCATCAGGGCTCAGACTTGAAGAGCGAGGTCCTGAAAGGCCTCGGACGACACGGACGTTGAGTCGGCTAAGGCGCCGTCGGGCGGCGGCAAGCCCGGGTCATTGAATATTCGCCAATATCGTTCGGAGGTCGTGGCGGGGTGTTCGTCACGATAGTCTCCGTGAGGGGGAGGTTCCCCCGAGGCTTCGGTCGGGTGTGACCTCTCAGCTGTGGGCTCATCTGAGCCGCTCAGGTGGTCACCCGACATTCCGGGCCCTCCTTCTAGCGCCAATTTGTTGTGGGAAACAACTTTGAGCTGTGGCCTCGGGGCCGACGCGGCTCGGTTCGGGTCTGGACGACGGGGATCTCCCTGGGGCGTTCCTCGAGCCCGCTGAGGCGGTTGGGTGCGGTGTCCGATCGGGACGGTGTAGCCGTCTCCTCCGGGCAAGAACTCCTCGCCTGCGTGTCCGGAGGGGACCTTCGGCTTCACACTTGCTCAAAGGTCGGGCCGAGGTGCTCGGCCCGACCCCTCCAACGATCAAGTTAGCAGATATGGAGGGGGTTTCAGATGAAGAAGTATTTTTGTGTGTCTGTCTCTCCCTCCCTCTTTCTGATGAACGAGAGGGTATTTATAGGGAAGCTTACTGCTTCTTGAGCTGCCCGCTTGCAGGGGGCAGGCTGGTAGCGTCTGACTTTGTGTTGGGGTGACGTGAAGAATTGAGCTTTGGCAGGATGTTAATGCGCCTCGGTCGGCCTTCTGGTCTGCATTGACCAGGTGTTGTTGCGTGAGGTATCATCTGACGTCAATCGAGTCTTATCATAATTACTATCCTCATCAATATATATATATATATACATATATTTATTTACTATGATGATAATTTTTTCAGCTATCATTTATCAGGCATATCATAACACATATGTTATCATCATCATGATAATAAAAATATTCTGAAGACAACCACAGCATTTGTGTTGTGTCTGACAGACACCGGTCGGAGAGGACTGTGGCCAGGGCTTATTCCCCAAGGTTGGCAACATCACCACCAGGTGTAAAGGCTTGGCTAAGGGTACGACATCGGTGTACAAATCACAGGGTGGTCCCATTTAAAGTCTTAGCTTTATCTACGCTTGAGTACACGTACATGAGTAAGATGGATGACCACTGCCTCTTGAAAACTTCTACCGCTGCCTCTTGTTGATTGATGAAGAACTATTGAGTTCTGAACCTGCAATCATTAGCCATGCTGGGTTGCTGGATCATGTCAACGAAATCAGTCTTACGAACAGTACCATATAATGGTGATAGGGCCATCATGAGAAGTTTAAAGTAGTATCTATCACACGACGGATGACTAATGAATGATTGCTTAGATGATAACGTTTTTAATAAAATCAAATAAATATAAATAGCATAATGTTAAGATAACCTTATACTAATTTAAAGGGGTATCATATCATCATGCCACGTCTAAACGGACACTGAGGAGTCAAATTCAGAGTAAAGTTCTCTTATTTTATTTTAATCTAAATGTTAATATTATTTTGTAAAGTATCTGTCCACGTTGACAAGTGTTTTTGGGATCCGAACATTCTAACAATTAATCTTACTATTTGGTTCTCTTATAAATATCTCATAAGGTGAAAAAGTAAGATGAAAAGAAAGAATTTGAGTGTTAGATATGAAAGAAAAAATGTAAATTTAAAAATATTTAAAGAGGATTTCTTTTAAGTATAACTCATTTCACATGACAAAAAAAAAAAGTTAATTTTTTTTCTTTAAATAAAGAGTTACCATAGTATATTAATTTTGTGTCAAAATTTTGTTTTTTTTTAATTATTGCAAACTTTAAAATTTTCTTCTGATTTGAAAAAATATTCGCTGATTGCACATTTTGCTTTGAGAGGAACACAAGTCGGCATACACAAAACCAGGGCAGTGAAACACCGGCCCACAATATTGGTGCCACCAGCCTCTCAATACCACCGCCCAACGCTGGCATCCTCTCTCTTTGCCCTCGAATCTTTTTGTCTTGTTTCATCCCTCGTTAGAGACAGATGAGACATGGAAGGTGCGGAGGAGCGGCCACAAAAGGCCAGGGCTGGAGGGCTTTTTTTTTATCTCCCCTACAACTTTGATGTGTGTGTATGGATATAGTAAAAGCAGGGAGTGGTACAAACTACAGACACACGCAATGGGCAGCCTATTCAGCCTTTGGACTCGTGCAGGCAGAAGGTTGAGAGGCTTCCGTGAAGGTCGGCAATCTCTCTCTCTCTCGATCTTTCCAGCTATCGAAGAGAGAGAGAGAGAGAGAGAGAGAGAGAGAGAGAGTAACTTCGCTTTGTCCTTAAATAACTAGCAACAGAGGGCTAAAATAGATGGGGCAGAGAGAGGGAAAAGGTGGGATCATCATCACAAACCAACGAAAAGGAACCTGAAAAGGAGGCGCAACCGACAAGCGGAAGGCGACACCAACGTCGGATGCCCTGCGACCGCTCGGCCGCGCGAGCGAGCGAGCGGGCGCCCACCACGACCACGTGAACATGTGGCCGCCTGACGATGCCTTTCCGGCTCGGGCTTCGGTGACCACATCGTTGGTTGTTGTTCCCCAGCCTCGGCGTCTTCAACTCGGGTCATGTCAGCCAACCACTTGACTCGCTTCTTGTCCTAAAGAAACTCGGGCACGCACCCACTGCAGATACCGTGCGAGTTCATGAGAATACGAAGATGCCAATTATTTAGCCTAAGACTTTGGGCAATTTTTTTAAAAAAATTATAATTTTTAAAACTTTTCCTAGAACGTTTTTATTTAAAAAAATTAAAAATAATATTTTTTTAATGATCATTATCAACCACTGCATGACCACCCCTTCGTCCCAAACAACTCGTCATTGTTGCTTGTAAAACCAACCGCCCTCGACGAGATCATCAGAAGCGACAACAACAATGGATCTGACAAAAAAAAAGATAAAATAATCTTTTTCACACAGTTAAAAATGATCTTTTAAAATTTTTCAAATTAGTAAAATAACATAAATTGTTTTAAAAAATAAACTATTTTATTTTTTTTTATCAAATCTCATCATCATTTATCTTATATATATATATATATATATATATATATATATATATATATATATATATATATATGCCAAATGATGATGAGTCTAAATTAGATCGATATATTTACTATATAATAGAATTATTCTTTTAGTCCATCATTTTATTTGAACATCTTCTATTCATATGCAACTGATCTTTATACCTTCACTAATCAATCTTTTCTTGTTTATTTATTTTGATTTGTTCGGATCAAATTGTCCACGATACTAATAATATCAAATAATGATGAGTTTAAACCAAGCTAATTAGAGTTTATAAAGTTTCAATCAGACTCAAAAGAGTTTTAGTAGTTTAAGTATGTAAGTTAGGGACCAAGTTCGATATATGCAACTCGATTCTTTCAATTCTAGGCCTGAATTGCAAATAGCAACTCAAGGAAGATCTTAGAATGTTTTTAAAAGACACCTTCGGTCCTGATCAGATTACGGCCACAGTCCTCATTCCTGGACACAACTCAAACAGACACCTGTGACTCCTCCTGTCCGGGAATCAATGAATTCCATACCTTGCCACAGGACTCTTTTTCTCTCTCATTTACTGACGAATCCAGTCCATCAGTATATGACCATGGCTTTAAGCTGATCTTAAAGCATTGGTTGAGATGCTTTAAAGCATTTGGCATGAGAAAAAAATTTCACAGAACTGTAATAGGACGGTACCTCTTCTCATCCTTGCTGTGGTCTTGCAATCCTGAAGTGATGGGTACGAACTCCATTTTGCTTGTGCCAAACCTTCACGAGGTCCTGCAGGTACAAGGGCCAGTCACAGTGGCATCTAGCGTATGCCACCCCAGCCTCAATGTCCAAGAACGCTCTGGGAAAAAGAAAACTTTCAGATTGCACAGTGCAACAGTACTGAGTTATCATGTACCACCATACTGCCTAACTTACAACCAACACGGTTCTCACTGGCTCTAATTTCCTGTGGGCTATCTATCTCCTCCCACCTCAGAACCAGTGCTTGGTGCAGCGGGGTATGGGATGAAGGGTACGTTGAGGTACGAAGATACCATACCACGACGCGCAGCATGGGGCACAGGAGGAACCGGAAAGGTCTGCACCACATGGCAGGCACCCGACCACAATGGCCAAAGCGTCGTCCTCGGGCATCCTCTCCATTGCTCGGCGTTCCAACAGACAAGCGATAGATGGCCGCAAGTAGCTGTCCTTTCTAAATTTCAAATTCCAACAACAGTTTCATTCTGTGATTACGGAGACTGGCATCATCCCATCGATAATGATATCAAGAAGCTGCCTGTACAGATCAAAAAAACAAACTCTTTATAGCCACAGTAAAAACATCGTTCATGAGTTTCCCTATTTCTTCTACAGTCTAAAAATAGTCTACAATCTTTAATAATGATAAGCACAAAACGCAAAAGTGCAGTAGACAGATTGGAAGAATTAAAAACTCAAAGAACAAGATAATTGAACAGCAATGCCAGCCAGATTGACAACCTGGTTTAGGCAAAAAAAAAAGAACAAATTTACCTATCATAGCCATCAGACCGAGGCCTATTGTCTGCTCTTTCTCTCGGCTTCTATCTGGAGAACAAGGTGATCTAGACTGTTCTCTTCTTTACCTAATTTCATAAGGTGACCTCGAAGGTATTCACAGCCATCACCACAATAACAACTTCTCGAAGATCAACGATAGCAACCGCATAATCATCACAGACCGCAAAACCTTCTAAAGTCATGACTAGGATTAATGCTGCATAGGATCAGGAGCAGATGGCCATAACCAGTAGAGAACAGTTAAATCAAATTTAGAAAAAAAAAAAACTAACTATCAAGTACTTATACACCGAGGTACTTTCTACATATAAATGTTTGTGAATGTCATCTCACCGACTGAAAAGAAACAGGAAATAGTGTCTCTTTAGATTTGCCTTTTCCCAAATCGAGCAACTCACCATACATGAAGAAGGAGAATGGTTGCTGAGGACCACAAAACAGAGAAGAACAGCAAGAATCACAGCCTAATAACCAAAGGGACAAAAAAACATCTACCGAAGAATATTAGACTCAGAGAACACAAATATTAAGGCATGGCAAGTAGCCTTCACCGATTACCACAACCGAGGTATTATTAAGTCCAATGGACTATGAACTGGCAGTGTTCGTTGGTTAGTTGTAAAAGTTGAAGGTGATACTGTTATTTAGTTTAATTTTTGCTATGTTAAACTGATCTGATGCCTCGAAAAATTGAGGCTGGTCATTATTAAGTAAATGTCCAAGTTGAGTTGAGACATTGATGAACTCATCTTTTTCACTGTTAACAGTTATGACTGTGAAGCAGTCATACCTTTTTCACTGTCATTTGTGGCCTTTCACAATCTGAGTGATTGAAATAATTGATAAAACAGTCTATATCTTCATCGGTATTCATGGTCACATGCAGAACTACAAGAGGCACATGTACGAAGTTCAACAACTAGATGACAACGAGCAACCTAACAAATTGAGCTGTGAAGACCACTTTACAGAAAATTATAAAGTAAAAAAGCTTAAACCAACCTTCCCCTTGGACAAGTGACTTTCTAGGTCCCTTTCTCTGACCGCAGATAAAAAGTCAGATATATGGAGTACTTTCAGCATTCTCTTCTTCATTCCTGCCATCACATAATTGAGATAATAAGGATAAAGGTTAATATATCAAGCATCATAGTCAAACAGATAGCCAAGAATATACCATTGCTTCCAACGGAAACCTATATCCCAGTCTTAGATTGCATTAATTCAGAGTCAAAAAGAAGTAAAATTATCTGAATCTGGTATCTGACCAAGTTAAGTTACACCTTCTAGACTCTCAAGTGTTTCGCAGTTAAACCAATAACCAACCCGTTGAACCTTCTTAATCCTGAGCCAAATGCAACCATAAAGAGCATTAGTAAGACAGGAAGAGAAACAGCAATTTACTTGGAAGCAAAGGAATTCAGTTTTTACCGGAATCTCCACCTTAATATATATGATCATAGTTGTCACATCCTGGATTCTTTTTTTCATAGGATTACATCTTTTCATATGTACAACAAGAGCCAAATAAATAAATATTAATTTATTAATATGAATAAATTATAAATATTTATTATAACTCATTTATTCATCAAAATATAAATCAAAAGTAGCTATAGACTTTATTGAGAAATATAGTGATGTCAACTCAAAAATAAAATCCAACTACCTCTACCTAGTTGTCATGAACTTAGCTGGTTTTGTCTAAGTCGTGCGGCACTCTTGCGTATCCGTCCACAAAGGCCAGCCTCCCCGAAACCTCCTATGGTCCCTTAGGACCTACCTATAAAAGAGAAAACAGATTAGAGAAAGTGTTTCACTCATGATCCACAAGCAACTATTTTAGCAAACATTTTATAGCCAATACAAATTACAAACATAGACTTCACAAACTCTAAACGATCACACAACAAAAGGTCCAAGATGGGTTACTATTGATCGAAATCCCCACAAGTGCCCACATGACATAGTTTTGGTCAAGGTTCGCCGTACCGTACCGTACCGGCGTTTCGACCCGGGCTCGGTACCGGTACGGTACGGTATACCGCTCGGTACACCCAGGTGTACCGAGCGGTACACTCAGGGGGTACCGAGCACTGTAGCAGTTCTACAATGCTACAGTACACTGCTACAGTGCTCGGTACGGGCGGACCGGAACAGGGCGGTCCGCGTACCGCTAGCCTGTCGGACCGGTACGTACCGCCCGTACCGGGCGGTACAGTCGGTACGGCAAACCTTGGTTTTGGTCGCCTCTAGGATTGTACCGTCTTCTCCATCATCTCTGCAGCCTACTCCTCTGAGGAGCAAAGGTATAACACCGCGTATTGTCTACTTCGTTCCTTGGTTGAGCACTCTTGCATCGACTTGAAGTCCTCCACTTTCGCTATCTTGATGAGAAGCTCGTTGACACTGTTCTTACGAAGTTTCCTGGCCTATGCCCTTTAGCCTTATCTCGGTACTTGGAGTTTGCCTCTGCATTCTCCACCTCCTCAGCCCTTTTTACGATCAAGCGCTCTCCCTTCATGAGAGCAAGGGATCGATGACTCCATGAAAGTCCCACATCTGCGGTACCATGGCGTTGCCATGCCCATGGCCTTACTATCCGTCGCCTCATATCTGCATCCCTTTCTTTGCGACCGGTAGATCTGCCTCAGCGATACTATGACACTCATTTGAGTCTACCTCCATTCTAACCGATACTTGGTTTTGGGTAGCTAGGTCCCTCTGGACTCGTCATTGCTTCCTCGCCCATTTCAACCACCTGCTTCACCTTTGTTTTCTTCGAGCAATTCCCCTTGATCGATGGAAAGACAGACTGCAACTTTAATGTATGGCCTCCGCCATCATGTTGTAGGGCTTGCGTCGATTCTATTCTCCTTAGCTTCCTTGGTAGCAACGTTCACTTACTCGGCCTTGTCCTCTGACTTACCAGGCTCCCTTAAACGAATATGAGCTTTGGAGCAGTCCAACTCTCCAGCCGCTTCGCTTACTCGGCCTTGTCCTCTGACTTGCCAGACTCCCTTAAGCGAATATGAGCTTTGGAGCAGTCTAACTCTCTAACCACTTCGATCATACCTTTGTATAATCAAGTCCCTCATGGGACTCAATGGTATTTGCACTCGGAATTCCCTCTTGGTGGTACACAACCCTCATATTGTCACGGCCTTAGCTGGAATTGCCTAAGGCGTGAGGCACCCTTGCGGCCAAGACGTGAACTTAGCTTGCGTTGCCTAAGTCGCGCTTCGCCCTTGCAATATTGCTCCACAAAGATCAACCCACTTGTAACCTCTCGCAGGTCCCGAAGGACCTGTAAAAGAGAAAGTTGATTAGTTCGAAAGAACGAGCGACGGACAAGTCCCGACGTCTCGCGAAAAGAGGGGAAGCTTTACAAGCAATTCAGCGAGCACCTTGCGTACACAAGAGAAAAGAGGGAGAGGGGGAAAACAAGGGCTTTAGAAGGTTGAACGAACAGCTGCAAGCCCACAAACAGCTGGTCACCGAGTCCCGGGTGCGACAACAAGTTCCCGTCAAGGCAACGTGCGAACTTGCGAATGAGTGTTCAACGCTTGGTACTATACCAAAGCCCCATCCAGCCCTGTGCCACCCGGGGGGTTCAAAGGGGCTGAGATGGCTGACGTTTTGATGAGCGGAGGCAGATTCCAGAAATCAGCCCGCGGCACACGAAAACGGAGCTGTTTTGGGCTGTTTTGGGGCTGTTTTGCTCGGTTCGGTGAGCGGTCGCTTTGTAACGCTGCAGCTTGTTCGAACTTACATTTTTACAAGCAAAATGACTCAAAACTAAGGCAAAACAGGCTGCCAAGTAACTGTACATGTAGATGAGAGCGACGAACGGTTCGTTGAACGGAGTTGTTGCGCGTGCGCGACGACCGTTCGTGACATTCTCCCCCACCTAAACTGTCGACGCCCTCGTCGACGCTTGTTGGTAGTTGTCGATGATCTCTTCTTCATGTCGCAAGGCGTCTTCAGGCTCCCAACTGGCTTCAGTTCGGGGAAGCTTTCGCCACTTCACCAAGTACTCTGTCTGCTCAGCTCCGTTGGGTAGCTTTATCTTGCGGTCCGCCAGAATGGTTTCAACTCGCTTCTCATAGGAGGCTGTGATGGGAGGTAGCCGAGTTGGAACACTTCGGGAAGCATCTTGCGGATCCGAGTGGTAGGCTTTTAGGTTGCTGGCGTGAAGAACGTTGTGAATTTTGAACCACGCCGGCAGCTGCAACTTGTAAGAGACGTTGCCTACCCTGCTGATAATTGGGAAGGGCCCTTCATACTTGCGCACCAATCCTTTGAGGACTTTGTTCCTAAAGAATTGGAGTGATGTTGGTTGGAGCTTTACCAACACCAAATCGCCAACTTTGAACTCTTGCGGTCGCCTTGCCAAGTCTGCCCACTTCTTCATCCTTTTTGCCGCCTTCTCCAAGTAAGCCCGCGTAATATCTGCATTTCGATGCCACTCCTTTGCGAAATGGTAGGCTGACGGACTACTCCCAGTATACCCAATGGCCATGGTGTGCGGAGTCGATAGTTGTTGTCCGGTAATGATCTCGAAGGGGCTCTTGTTGGATGCAGAGCTCCGTTGCAAGTTGTAGGAGAATTGGGCAATGTCCAACAGCTTCACCCAATCTCGTTGGTTGGCACTCACGTAGTGCCGAAGATATTGCTCTAGGAGCGAGTTTATCATTTCAGTCTGGCCATCCGTCTGAGGGTGGAGGCTTGTAGAGAAGTATAACTTTGACATCAACAATTTGAATAGCTCGGTCCAGAATCGTCCCAGGAAGCGAGCGTCTCGATCACTAATGATATTGTGCGGGACTCCCCAATACTTCACCACATCCTTCATCATCAGCTTGGCCGCCTCCTTTGCTGAATAGTGTAGGGGAGCAGCAATGAAAGTTGCATACTTTGAAAACCGATCAACCACCACGAGTATCGATCCGAGTCTCCCTACAAGTGGCAAGCTTGATATGAAGTCCAAGGAAATGCTCTCCCACGGCCTTTCTGGTACGGGCAACGGCTCCAAAAGTCCCATCGGCTTCCGCTGCTCAACCTTGTCTTGTTGGCAAGTAAGGCATGTTCGAACATATTCCTCCACATCAGTCCCCATCTTTGGCCAGTAGAAGGCCCTCTCCACGAGAGCCAACGTTCTGTGAATGCTTGGGTGTCCAGCCCAAAGGGAATCGTGACACTCTTTTAAGAGTTCACGCCTCAAATTGTCTACTCGGGGAACATAAACCCTATTCCCTTTTGTGTAAACGAGTCCCTCCTGGACCCAAAATCGTCGTGCCTTGCCTTCTTTGATGAGCTGCATCAGGATAACTGCTCGGGGGTCACTATACAGTCCATCCCTGATCCTGGAAAGGAAGTTGGAGTGCAACTGACTTGCTTGGCCTCCGCCCTCCAATTTTGCGGCATTCACACGCTCCACTTTTCGACTCAATGCATCGGCCACGACATTTGCCTTCCCAGGCTTATACTCCATTGCCATATCAAATTCAGCAAGGAAGTCTTGCCAACACGCCTGCTTTGGGGAGAGCTTCTTTTGAGTTTGGAAATAGCTCAGAGCAATGTTGTCCGTTCTCAGCAGAAATCGCGATCCGAGGAGATAGTATCGCCAAACTCGTAAACAGTGGATCACCGCTGTCATCTCCTTCTCATGCACTGGATACCGCCGCTCGGTCTCGTTGAGTTTGCGGCTCTCGTAGGCCACCGGATGACCCTTCTGCATGAGTACTCCCCCAATAGCGAAGTCCGAAGCATCTGTATGGACTTCAAAAGGCTCCCCATAGTCTAGCAATTTGAGCACTGGTTCTTCCATAACAGCAGCCTTCAGATCTTGGAATGCTATTTCATATTTGTCAGACCACTTCCAAGGCTGCTCCTTCTTCAACAACTCCGTCAGTGGGTTTGCACGCTTCGAATATCCCGCTATGAAGCGTCGATAATAGTTGACGAAACCAAGGAAGGATCTCAACTCTGGCACCTTCTTTGAAGTTCGTCATTCCGTAACCGCTTGCACCTTCGACTTATCCATCCGAATGGAGCCATCACCGATTCGATGTCCCAAGAATAAGATCTCAGTTTGAGCAAAGTAGCATTTCTCCCTTTTCACGAACAAAGTGTTCTCCCTGAGAACCTTAAAAATTGTCCGAAAGTGTTTGACATGCTCCTCGAGCATTTGACTGTAGATGACGATATCGTCCAAGTAGACGACCACGAACTTATCTAAATACTCCTTGAATAGCTGGTTCATGAGAGTGCAGAACGTGGCCGGAGCGTTGGTTAAGCCGAAAGGCATCACCAAGAACTCAAACGCTCCATACCTGGTCACACAGGTAGTCTTCGCTTCGTCGCCTTCAGCAATGCGCACCTGCCAATACCCCGACCGAAGGTCGAGTTTTGAGAAATACTTGGCTTTGCCCAATTGGTCGAACAAGTCCGCAATGAGCGGGATGGGATACTTGTTCTTCACTGTCACTTTGTTGAGGGCTCGGTAGTCGACGCATAATCGGAGGCTCCCATCTTGTTTCTTCTGGAAGAGAACTGGAGCTCCAAAAGGTGCTTTAGAGCTGGGGATGAGACCACCACTTAGCAGTTCACCTAACTGCTTCCTGAGTTCTGCAAACTCTGGCGGGGGCATGCGGTAGGGTGGTCTCGCTGGAGGCTTCACTCCTGACTCCAGCTCGATGTTGTGATCCACGCCCCTGCGTGGTGGAAGAGTCTTCGGCAACTCGGGTGGCATAACGTCATTGAACTCTTTCAGGACG